ACCAGCGTGGTAAATCGTACTCGAATTTGCGAACAAGAAAGAAAGCATGGGCGACGTTTTCTTACAGGCAAACGCGGCTGCCTCGCAGAAACGAGCGCGAACGCGCATTACCGACGAACAGCTAAAGATATTACGAGCGCATTTCGACATCAACAATTCCCCTGGCGAGGAACAGATTCTAGATATGGCGGCTCAGAGCGGGCTACCGCCGAAAGTCATCAAACACTGGTTCAGAAACACGTTGTTCAAAGAGCGGCAACGGAACAAGGACAGCCCGTACAACTTCAACAATCCGCCGAGCACAACGCTGAATCTCGAGGAGTACGAAAAGACCGGCGAGGCGAAGGTGACGCCGTTGAACTCTAGCGTGTCCGGGAGTAGTTCCTCGGACGACAAAAGCCCGAATAAACAAGCTACACCGCCACCATCGACCACTGCACAAGTAAACACGTCGCAGGCCAGCGAGATCAAGCAGGAGATTCAAGAGCAGTCGCAGTTGCACGTTCAGCAGCATTCACAGGAGGAGCAGCAACATCATTCGCCCGGTAGTTCCGGCGGACAGCAGTCGAGACCGCACTCGCCGGCGCTCAGCATGAGCTCCGTGTTCTCTGGGATTCATCACGACGTGTCGTCGCACGGCGCGTCGACCGCCAACGCTCCTAGCACGCCGATGCTACCGCCGAAGCTGGCACCGCAGAACTTCACCAGCCCGACTCCCGGTGCTGGTAACGTGGTCCCGGGGGCGATCGCGGCAATGGCTCTGACGCCTCAACGATCACTCAGCCCTGGCCGTGGACCGACCGATTACTCCTTCAGCGGAAGCACCAACGGCAACAGCTCCTCGTCCGGCGGTAGCTCCGGGAAACGAGCCAACAGAACGAGATTCACCGACTATCAGATCAAGGTGCTTCAGGAGTTCTTCGAGAACAACGCGTACCCGAAAGACGATGACTTGGAGTACCTGAGCAAGCTGCTCGGGCTGAGCCCGCGCGTGATCGTGGTATGGTTCCAGAACGCTAGGCAAAAAGCGCGAAAGGTGTACGAAAATCAGCCAGCCGCTGAGCCAGTGACGACGGGCAGCCGCGAGGGTGACGATGGTTCAGGCCGCTTCCAACGGACCCCAGGCTTGAATTACCAATGCAAGAAGTGTTTGCTGGTGTTTCAGAGATACTACGAGCTCATTCGTCATCAGAAGACGCACTGCTTCAAGGAGGAAGACGCGAAGAGGAGCGCCCAAGCGCAGGCGGCCGCGGCCCAAGTCGCCGCTGTTCTCAGCTCCGAAGACAGCAACAGCAGTTCCACCACCACCACTGCTAACGCCGTGTCCAGCAATCCGATCAACACTCCCGCACTCGCGGAACAGTTGCATCAACCGTTGAACGCCACCACGTCTCCCCATCATCAGCAGCAGCAACAAATGGGACAGTCGCATCAACATCCTCAGCAACAGTCGCAGCAGCAGCAACAGCAACAGCAACAGTCGCAGCAACAGCAACAGCAATCGCAGCAGCAACAACCGCAACAGTCGCAAACCGAGTCGAAGGAAGGTAGTTTTCAGTGCGACAAGTGTAACCTGATGTTCGGGCGGTTCGAACTTTGGCGCGAACATCAGCTAGTACATATCATGAACCCGTCCCTGTTCCCACCCGCCTATCCGCCAGACTCACCGTTCGGCATCCTCCAGCAACAAGCGCTGAACGCTACCAGCGGGGTAGCCGCCGATACCCCTCACCCTTTGATCGCGATGATGCAAGAGAGAAAGAGAAAGTACGATGACTTCGACGAGGGAACGGTCGGCGACAGCCGCTCCAACTCCGAACACAACGAGCAGCCGAAGGACAAGCGACTAAGAACGACGATACTGCCCGAACAGTTGGATTATTTGTATCAAAAGTACCAGGTCGAGTCGAATCCGTCGAGGAAGATGCTGGAGACGATCGCTCGCGAGGTCGGTCTGAAGAAACGGGTGGTGCAAGTGTGGTTCCAGAATACGCGCGCCCGCGAACGGAAGGGCCAGTTCCGCGCGCACAGCCAGGTGATCAACAAACGGTGCCCCTTCTGTCCGGCCTTGTTCAAAGTGAAGTCGGCCCTGGAGTCGCATCTCAGTAGCAAACACGCCGATCAGGTGGCTCGCGGCGAAGTGAATATAGATAACATTCCGGACGAGGAACTATCGATGGAGTCGGCCCCCTCGAACCCGAGCACGCCCAACATGATGCCGCCACTGTTCCCGCCGTTCAACACCGAAATGGAGGCGTCCCTGAAAAAGTACTACGAGGAGTCGATGAAGCGATACATCAGCGAGCTGCAGGCTCACGCCAGCAACGGCAAGCAAGAGACCGCGAACCATCAGGCGGGTGGCAATAGCGGCGAGTCCCCATTGGATCTGAGCAAACCGGTAGATCTGAGTCGCCCGATGAAACTGAGCCTCGGCGGGCTGTCGAATCTCCTCGATGAACAACACGGCGCGCACTTCCGCGGCGGCAGCGATTGCGGTCCACTGACCGACCTCTCCGAGAGGAGCATCTGCGACGACGACAGCATGAGCGAGACCACGGAATTCCTAGACGACGAGAGCGGACCGGCGAGTCCAGCCTCGAGCACACAGAGCTCCAGACAGGGTCCCGCTTCGGTGGGGGCCGGAAGT